ACTGGTCTAAATATTGAATCATACTGGTTTCAAAAAAAATGTAAAACTAAAACGCGGTCTTAATATTTGAAATTATATTGTTAAATTCTAGTGATACGCATTTGCTTATTTCTTGTCCAGGGTAGGTGCAATTTATAAGTAAGCTAAGAAATTAATATTCTAGATGATTTCAGTAAATTAGGGGGAGTTTCATTGGAGAGCATCTTAAGCTTCCATAAAGGTTGAAAATGGTTTTATATCCTCTGAGTTGCGGCAACGAAATGGGCTACTAGCAGTAAGCGATCTAAAAGACCTATAGTACCCCTTAGTCAGATTAAAGTGCTTCACCAAGTCCGATTTATTCAATGAAAGACAGAATAGTGCCCATCTTTCCTACTCTTGAATCCTTATGATCCATGAAATACTCTCCTAAGTCTTTCTTCAGCTTGTATATCAGTGACGGGCACTCCACAAGCACATGGTATGTAGTTTCTGTCTCTTCTCTACAGTATCTGTAGTCTGACTTGAATTGAATTCCTAACTTCGTTAGGTGATTATTCAATCTACAGTGACCGGTCAATAATCCCGTAATAATTCTTAGGTTATTCTTTGATTGTTCTTTGTAATTTTTAAAGCGTTTTAAATTGTAAGTTCCTAAAAGCATTTTATATTGTGATAGCCTTGAAAGCCTTTTTCAATAGAGTTCTCTTTCTTTTTCCTCAGTGCCGTTCATAAGAATGAATGTGCGCCTTCACCACAGCGAGGTTCTGGGCCTGTCATTATTGAAGCCACACCTCTTCTTGCAAGTTTGTCTGCCATTTTGTTGTCTTGGATACCAGCATGCCCCGAAATCCATATTAAGTGCACCTGATTGTTCCAGCCGAGGATGTTGAACTGTCAATGCACTTCCATACCAGTTTGGATGTTGCCTGGTAGGATATGAGTGCCAATACAATTGCTTGACTGTCAGTCAGATTTGCAATTTTACGGTTTCGGTAGTTATATTCAAAGTTGAAACTGGGGCATCTATCTATAGCGTATATATCCGCTTGAAAGATGGTTACATTTTTTCCCAGTGCTTCCCAGTATCTTTTGATAACCTAATCTAACACTGAAATTATTGTACATTACTTTTTATTGAATTTTTAAAGATTATAATTACTATAATATCATTACTATAATTTTTTTTTTGTTGAAGAATGAGCCAATTGATAAATCTAAATAGAATTTTAACCTTTCCAACTAGCATTCTTCATGCGACTGTCACTTGCTGTTCTCATACAATTTATAATGTTAAACATCACAACAGCATCGTTAGCAAATTTATCTAGACAGCGGAACTTAGCAATCGAATAGACGCTGCAATGCAAATTCAATTTTGACTATTTCAATTCGTATTTATGTGACTCTATGTATTAGAATCCGCTTCTTTTACAGAAGAAGATTCTATTAAAATCCGGTTTCTGATACAAGAAATCGTCACGGCGTCTTTGGCAACGTTATTTTGACAGAGAGAGTGATCTTTATTTTTTTGCAGGTCCTTTTATCCTTCGAGGTGTAGACATCAGCATAAACCATTAGTTCTAATACCTTATTCTACATCTTTACCTATATCCTGATTACAATTTAGTCTGTTTAGTTATGATGTTGACATCTAATTTTTTAAACCAGCCCCGTTTATGATTAGGCCTATGTCTTCTACACTATGTTACAAACACCATGACTAAAATATTATACCCTTTTCGCACGTTACGTGAAAGGTATAATATATTATGAACAACAGAAAATCATTCAAATGAATTTAATTTGTTTAAACGTAAACATGTTAACTGGCATAAATATAGTTAACAAACAAGATTAGAAATGCATAATTTATTGAACTAAATTAATAAGCGTGTTACTTCATATGTACAATATACTATTGTATTTCAAGCAGAACATGTGTTTCACAAAAAAACAACACAAAATATTTAAAAGATTATTAAAAGCTACCGAAAATTAACTATTGCAATTTGTGAGGTGCATTAGACTTTTGTTTAACAATCACGCAAGATACAATCGCAAGGAACATGCAACATTTTTTATGAAATATTTGTTTTTTTTATATATATATATTTTATTAATAATTAGTGTGAACAAATCATATTTATTTAATAACTATTACACTCTTAATTGTTGCAAAAACAAATAATAATTTTTCTGATTATTATCTAAAAAGTAGTTAAATAAAATATGCATAAATAAAACAAATTACAGATACTGGTATAATAAATTGTAAAAAATGTAAAATTAAAATGATAAAGGTGATATTTTTTAATCATATAAAAAATAAATAATTCAAAAATAACAAAAATATCGTTAAACAAGAAAACATTAAATGAAAATAAACTACCTCAGATGTATGAATATTCACAAGACACAAGCACTTTAATGCTACCAAATGAAAGCAAAATGGACTTTATGATGGGCGTTTTAACGGGCGCCTATGTTGTCATCGCTGTTGTTGTATTTTACATTATTTATATTATAAAAGCGAAACTAGGTAAATTTTAAAGTAAATAAATAATCATATAAACAAATATTACATATATAACATCTTATGTATTTAGTTGCATTATGACTGCCTTTAATTTAAATCGTAGTTCAATTTTTACATTTTAATATTAAACATTTTTATTTATTCATTTATGTTATAAATTATGAAATAATATATACTTTATTTAAAATAGACTTAAATTTTATATTATAAAAATAAAATAAATATATAGTAATATATAGTATAGTAAATAAAAATAACATAATTTATGTAAATACATTTTTATATACATATTTCTTTATTTTTAAAACAACTTCACATTGCTGAATCTATCTGTAATACAGTACTACAGTAATTATCCAATATAACAAATATCCAATCTAACTAACGACAACACTCTGTCATTGACTATTCTATATAACGAATGCATATATAAATATTTGTATATATATTTATACATATTTTAAATATAAATATAAAATGTGACATATATATATATACATTTATATACAGAAACTATCAAACCTATTTCTTTAAAATTTTAATGAAAAAGAGGTGTAAAATTTATAGACTTTGTTTTATATATAAACGGAACTGGGGTTACTTAAATGCAAAAATAATTTTTCTTTGGAGAACTGAACAAATTGGATTTCAAAGAGCAAAAAACTTAGAACTGAAACACAAAGTTGTATGCTTACAACTTTAAGATTTAATATTAGATAAACAAACGAATAGATACATTTTTTTCAATCAGTTTATCTTTTACTATAGTGTACTATATCTCCCAATAACAGCCGCAAAATAATTAAGTATATATTTCTTCAAATAATAAATTACTCTTAATATATTTAAAAAAAAATAATGAGTATTTTTTAGGTAGTTTAGAAACTTTAAAAGAAAAAAACACACAAAGATAAATAAAATATGTTAATTCTTTTAATTTGATGAATGGATAATATGTGTAATATGGCATTATTAATGCAAAATGATCCGGGAATCATTTGCTGAACATCATGATTTTTTCAATCATTTGAAGACGTATCTCATATCAATAGTGTACTCATTGTTGAGTTCCAAGTATAAAATCAATTCTGGATTATCCTCATAGACCAACTATTTAAAGTAACGCTACAGAAAATAAATCAGCAGCGTCAGATCAAAGGATCTTGCTGTCCACACAATGGGTCTGTTACTGAAGATTATATATACATATTATTATCAAATTATTATTCACTTTCAATAAGTGAATAGTTGACTTTAAAATATTTACTGTGACACCATTCTATTGAACCAAATGTCTGGCAAACCATACTTTTGAAAACAACGCATCGTGCAATAAAACCAATGACGATGACACTTGCATTTTCTTTATTTTTTAAAAAGTAGCCCGATAATAATATCAATCCAAACTGTACCAAACAGTTCATTTTTTCAGATATATGAGAAATTGAATGGGTGCCAATGGATTTTTCAAGTGATTTTATGAATGTTACTTATTAACAAACGCTTTGAGGTAGGATTAAGTGTCAACCTAAATAAAATTGTACCGTTAAAAAAGGAATTTACCATTCAATAAAGTCGCAACAGAAAGAATCAATTTACAACTTCAATAATATAGGGACGTAAGTCAATGTCCTTGCACAAAATATTCCACACTGATCTCAAGAGCAGCAAAGCTTTAAATATATAAACCAATGTAGAAATTATTTTATTAATGTGTGGCTAAATATTATATTTTTTTTATGTTTATTAAGTAAAAATAAATAATTATGCTGAATAATTTTTCACTCATTTATTAAAAATGATGTATTAAAAAAAATTTATATTAATGCCTATAACAGATCTTATTTATTTTATTTATTTAATTAGATTTATATAAAATACGTTAATCTTATTACTTTATTATATTAAATTTGTGTTATTATTTTATATATCTACTAAAATACCTACTATACATATTTTTATTAGTTTATTTTAACTTTATAATATAATAATAATATCATTTGTTATTAACACAGTAACTTATGATAATATAACGTAATACCAATAGATTGAACCAAATTTTTGCATGTAATAATGTTGTGTTTTATTTTGTTGAAATATTCCCTAATACTCGAATTCTTTACTAGTATATTACAGATAAAAATAAGTTATTCATAAAATCTTTCTTGATATATATTTTTTAGATTTGCCCGGAGTTATTAGTGATCACAACAACCAAAGACTAAATTCCAGCCATAACAATAATCAGAATGATTTTTCCGAAATATCACAGGTGCGTCTGCGACAACTAATTGAAACTATATTAGCTGAAACATTACGTACACCAATCTTAAGCTCTAGTGCGGTCTCAGAAATTGCACTAGACACCCATAGCAATGCAGAAACAATACCGTATTCTAACGGTGATGTCAAAATGAACTCCCGTCGTCACCGAACCGAACACTATTTTGAACCAAAAGCCTATCAAGATTTATTGGCTACTGCTGTGCTCAACAAGGTATGTTATTAATAAAATTAAAAAATATTTTACCAAAATTGATTATGTTTTTAAGTAAGCTAAAGATAAGAACGAAACTTGAATGCTTATAAATATCTCACCTATATAATGACTAAAATGTGTTTTTTATAAATGTATATAAACTCGGATATAAGACATAAACTCATTAACCCCATTTATTTAGTTCTAAACTTATTATTACTTAGATCGCAATTATACACGACGTCTCGTAGGGGTTTACATAAGGATTATTCACATTTAAAATATTCTAAACATATGAGAACTGCAATTTGGTTACATATTTAAAATAGACGTGACAAATAACTGCTTATCAAATGGCTGTATTTGTCTATACCCTGACCTAAATTGGGTCAGTACAACTTTTATTCTTAGAGTTATCAGGAAAGTTTTATCATTTTATACCATAAAAACTTGTTCTTGAAGAAGACTGTATCTCAGTATGAAAGATCTGTAATTATTGAAGTTACTTGATCTTACTAATATAGCCTCCGTTACAGCAGGTGTCAAAGAATTTATGATACGAAGAAAGAGATCGAAGGTATATTTTGATTTTGATGCCATTAGATAATTTTTTTTTTATACAGAGATTTTAAAAACACGTCATTTAATTTACCAGGCAATGAAATTTTGTAAGTTCTTTCAATGAAACTGTCGTACCATGCCAGTGATATGGAGAAGTTTACTAGTTTCGTTTATTATCTTATAAAATTAGAAACTGCAGTGATATTACCATCTCGACGAATGTCGTACCATGCAACATTGACCATATTATCAAGAAGTTTATTTTAAAACTGTTGAATTATATCAATACTAGAGGTTCAGGCCCAAATTTATACAATATAAGGCCACACTGGTTTTCTGTATGTAGCGTTTTAATCTATTTCTGATGAATTAGTCCACTTTTAAA